GAAACTCTAACTGAGCACATGGTTTGGAAAACCGGGACAGTGATACAGTCACTTTTTAATTTAGAATAAAATGGCAAAAGAGTTCTGTTGTTAACAGCAACAAGTTGTAAATAAATGGAATTTTGAATTTAGCAATGAGCTAGAGACAATTTTGACTGGCAGGTCAAATAAGCAAATTAATGCTAAACACACAAAGTACTTTACTAAAATGAATTTCTAGATGAAAATATATTACAATGAGTACATGTCATTTATTCTTGCCATCGAGTGCACGTTTGGACAGTCACAGATGAGTGACCTTTCGCCAGTTTTCACAGCAAGAATAATTGATGACAGTGACCCAACACTTGTTTTAATTGTGATTTATCAAATTAAATAATGCATTAATTTAAAAGCCACAGATAATTACTTATCCTGCTTACAACATAACTATGCATTGGAATTTAATACAGAAGACCTAGTTGCAATATGGAAGCAAACTGAGGTTCTTACCTAAAAAACAAGTTGGCTTGTTGTCACCTCGACAGTGCAGGCAGAAAGAGGAAGATTTCAAGCTTGGGGGTCCCACGCTCCCTCTTGCCCCTGTCATGTGAGAACATAGCCCCTGGGGATTGGCTAAAAAACTGTTGCTATGGAACCCATGGCACCAGTGCCTTGAGCCCCAGAACCCTATCAGATAACTTTTAAAAGGCAGGATATTGGGTTACTTGTGCAAGAAACTAGGACTAAATATCCAGCCTTTACACTTGTAATATACAATACGTCAGGAACCATTAGAGTTTGCTGTTGTCAAAACACTTGTTTAAGAACGGACTTGTAATATACAATACGTCAGGAACCATTAGAGCTTGCTGTTGTCCAAACACTTGTTAAGAACGGACTTGTAATATACAATACGTCAGGAACCATTAGAGCTGGCTGTTGTCAAAACACTTGTTAAGAACGGACTTGTAATATACAATACGTCAGGAACCATTAGAGCTTGCTGTTGTCCAAACACTTGTTAAGAACGGACTTGTAATATACAATACGTCAGGAACCATTAGAGCTTGTTATTGATATAGGTCATAAAGATCGGAAATCATTTACTAAATATCGAGCAATTATCGACAAATATGGGAGACGTAACTTTGAGCCAAAATGCCGAAAAGGTCTGAAAGAAATAAACATGTTTCATATCTCTGAGTGGTGACATGTTTTGCATGGACTACTAACAAAACAGCGTCCTGAACATGATTTCGACGCAGACCTTGAATAAAGTCCTAACTTAGTATAATATTATGTGAGAAAATTAAAACTTGTTTCTGTCACGCATGTTAATGTCCGATGTTATCGATAACACACTTTTCATATCGATAATCGTTCATAATTCTATCGACGATATTTCCAGCTATCGATAATGAAATCCAGCTCCATAGATAATCGGTTTTGTATTGAGTACAAATGTATGGCCACCTCGTGAATTGATGCAGGCCATGTCAATTCCCATTTTTCCATTTCTGAGATCTGGTGTTGACGGTTGACTGGTGGTACTACTTGCCTTTTCCCGTGCCTACCACGTGTGTTCGATGGGGTTCATGTCATCAATTGAGTGGTTGTTGTTTACCGCCGCACTCAGCACAAGTATGTTTAGCGGTCTCTAAATAATCGAGTCTCTAGACAATCCAGTGATCAACAGCATCAGCATCGATTTACGCAACTCAGATATGACGACATGTGTCCACCAAAACAGCGAACTTGACCACCCGATCTCGTTAGTCGCCTCTTGCGACAAGCATGAGTTGCTTAGGACCAAATCTAACCCGGATCTTCACTGGTCATTATGTCAGAATGCACACTTTAAACATGGAAAATCGTCATCAACTTTCTATCAACACATTTCACCTCACAAAGGAACATTGAAACATCACTTTGACTGATCGCCGACTTGCATTCTCACTTAAGGTAAGACTGCTTGCACAACTTCAATAATCATGATACATAATATCATGACTAAATGTAATTATATTTATGAATAAAAATGTAATATTTATGAAAAGAAATATGTATATTTATGAACATATGTACGTATACATGTATACGCACAATATCTCAGTCATTATTCAATAATTATGTAAATGAATTAGATGTGCCCATATTGCACTCATTCCCGGGCACATCAAAGGTACTTAACATCACAAACAAGCTCATAGTGAACTAATATAAATACATGTAACTGGTTCGGTGTTAAATATAATCTATATCTGATTCACATGACGACAGTCGAGGTATGACTAAGATATGTTTTTAAATGATTTGCATCTGTAGTGATACCTCATATATCCGGACCTACATGCGTCCCAGCCCGATGTCAATCAGCTGCTCATAGGCCACTGCCAACATGCTGTAATGTCTCTGACGCTTTAAACAACAATATCACATAGTTGATGTTACCACCACTAAACCTTTGATTACAAGAAATAGCATCTTAGTGTTAAGAAGAACAATTATATCACTAATATTTATTGGTTAAAGATCATACCAAACAATCAGTTTGAAATCGACAACAATCAGTTTGAAATCGACAACAATTAGTTTGAAATCTACAACATTTTCAGAGCACTATGTCAGCGGACTACTACAGTGTGAGGGTACTATAAATAGTTGCTTCTATATTTTGTGGAGCAAACAGTGCTCTCTTTACCCTCCTTCATCGACGATTTCACAATCCATTGAAATGTTTAGAAATCCACAACAAACAACACCATATAAGGTAATATCATGTGCATATGCTTTAAGGGTAGACAATGCCTGTGACATGTGTAAGTTCCTAAAAAAAGATCAAGTATAAATGTTCAGATGTGTTGCGGTTAAAGGATGTCGCAAAGCTTTTAGACTGGATTCGTCATTCCTACCGTGTCCTCCCTGTATAGGAGAGTGTTTGTCTACGTTGAACCTTGTCAATAACGCGAGTAGAGGTACCAGCGAGCGTAGTCCCATCAAGGTTTAGTATATCACAGCGCCATGTTTTACTCCGGGTAAGTCTTTATATTGGTGTGATAGAGAGAGTGAGCGCGAGTGAGAGGGAGGGAGAGAAGGAGGGAAGGAGAGAGAGAGTCAGGGAGAAGGAGAGAGGGGAGGGAGAGAGACAGACAGAGAGAGAGAGGGGAGAGAGAGGGAGAATATTTATATGTGTGTGTGTATGTATGTGTTTGTGTTTGCTCTATGCTGTGTGGAATATACCACTCACGTTATAAGCGAAAAGGTTTAGTATATACTTATTTACCCTTTAATCAGTGAGCTAAGCTCAAGATTAGTGGAAATCCTAAACAAATAGTTTTTCTTATTCCAGCGTGACCGTTTCGCATTAAATTACCGTCTGCTGTTACTTACCTAACACCTCCTTGGAGTGTCCGCCCGGAGAGCGGGAGGTCGCGGGTTTGATCCCCGGCCGTATCATACCAGACGTTAAAATACGGTACTTGTTGATGACTGAGTGGCGCCCTGCATTAATGGGTACAACAAGGACTGGTCGGCTGGGAGTATAATGTGTCTGAGTGGTTTATTCATGCTTCACTGCAGCATGGTATCTCAGTGGGCTAGCACTATTAAACCAGCTTAAGTCTGGGCTAGTACAAGCAGCCACACATACACACACATGCACGTCGTCATATGAGCGAAATATTCATAAGTACGACGTTAAACCCCATTTCACCTTTCCTTGGCACAGACTGAAAACGTCTACTGATTCTGTCAGGTGAAATTCTGTCGTGTGGAATTCTGTCATGCGAATTCTCTCCACTCTCCTGCAGTGGGTTACTTGTTGTGGAAGTATCTGTGGCGTATTATGACGTTGATGTCCACGTCTTTCGAGGTCATCCTGCAAGGCTTTGCCAGGATCAGATCTGTAAGACCATGGCGAAACATTGACTTTTGAATAAGATGACATTAACAATTTGGTCGACGTGCCAGTTTGCAGTCAGATTCCTCCGACCCAGCACCATGTCAGATATCCGCGAGTAGGATACGGCCGATAACATCGTCACATATCGCAGCAGCATCGGCTGCAGTTCGACGTCGGTAGCGTTGTCTTCCATCTTGGCGTTGGGGAAGAAGTCGTCACTGAACCAGACTCACCGCCATGTCTACCCGGTGTTTGCCCATAACATACGTTGTCGTCAAACGTTTCAATACTGGTACAGATACCGCTCTTCTGGGTCTAATTCTTACCTCTCGAACAGTATTAGTGACTGTTAGGTCGATACCCTCCTCAAATAGGACATGTTTCCTTCAGTCTCGGTGGCAGCAGCATGTCGATGAGCATGGGTATATGATAAACATACACTATGAATAAGACTTTTATTTCTTTTTTCGCGAAATTATTAAGCTAAATTTAACCCTTTCAGTCTCATCTGTAAACCACGTGCTAGAAACAATTGAATAAACTGCAGAGTAATGGCCATTCCGTTAGTTCGTTCATTTGACATAAACATTATGGTTTCTCAGCCTTTAAAAGAGCGAGTGTACATACATAATATCCAGCACACAATGAACTGAACCTGTTTTGAGTTCACTACTGGCCGGGGCGTGCCCCTAAAACAGGTTTCCATTCTTGCCTCTTTTGTGTACAATGAAATGTGATCCTCCCCCTCGCTTGGGTTGGATGTACTTGTAACCAAGGATGTAACCATGCGCAATTTCTATAAACAGTTTGTACACAAAGTCGGGTCTCTGTGCATCGATTGGAGGAACGAATGTGGTTTAACGCCGCTCTTAGCAAGACCAAGCAATGTTATTATGGGGGACATCAAAAATGGGCTTCAGACACTGTACCAATTTTGGGAAAAGACTGACTGACTGAGTTTGGTTTTACGCCGCTTATAGCAATATTCCAGCAACATCACAACGGGGGACACCAGAAATGGGCTTCATTTGGGAAAATAACTCCATACTAGTGACTAGCTAACGCTCTAACCCAAATCTACTTAAACAATACACATGTAATGGATGAAATGATTTAAATGGCCAGGTAGTGTTAACCTGTTGGTAATATCAATCAGGTGTATATACACATGGAAAAAGTATCGCAACGCCTATCACTTTTAACTCTCATATATAGCCATATATATTCACATCATAATTTTGTTTGTCTGTATGGTTATGTAGACTCTTCGGGCGCAACATAAATTTAGTTTAGATATGCACGTGCACGATCATAAATCGGGCATCACGTTCAATATTTGTACCCGCCATTAAGCAAATATTTCAGTTAATGCTCGCCTTACAATTGATCAAAGATAGGGCCTGTAAGTCTTAGGGCCTGTTAGTCTTGCGAGGTGCTGCTTCCGGTACTAGGCTCGTTCCCGGCTCGCCTTGCGCGCGCCAATTTTGTGAGACGGGACCCCGAATACTTCCGGTACCAGATTTCCGGTGACAAGCGTATATTAAAGAACCAGTTCTGGTTCCATATTGCGCGACCGCCAAGTATGACTTTACTAGACCGGATCAAGTGCACAGCCACTGGTTGTCACAGCTGTTGACAGTCGTAATAGTTGGCTAATTTGGGGATGGTTAGATCGGAAGTTTGTTATTCCTGCAAGGATTATCGGTTTCTAACTGTCAACTGACAACCATGAGACCATTCGAAAAGGTATGGAACGTTGTTTGTCACCGGAAGTACTGAGGTCTCGCAAAGTCCCGTAACCTACTCGGGGGCTTTACTGCAAGAGATGCTGGTTGTCATCCACCGACTATCAGCGATTGGCCAGAAAACATCAGCTCACTAATGACGTCAGGGACTGTCAGCGTTCAGTTTGACATCGACAACCCCTGGGGAGGAGACATACGTTCTCAGAATCACGTCGTCGCCTGTCCAACAGGATGGTCCCAAATCGCCTGAAATCGGCCGGGTCTAAAGCCAGACGACCCATAAGTCATCCCCAGAGCACAAGGCATAACGGTCAGCATGGTTTTAAACTCGAAGCCACTGGATCATCAGGTCATGGAGAAGGGCTCACTGGTCGGACGAAAGAAGATTTCTTTTGTTCATGACTGATGCTCGAGCTCGTGTTTGGTGACGCATAAATACTGCAGAACGGAATATCTGGAAGCAAGTACCGTGTTGGCAGGGGTTCATTGATGGTGTGGGTTTACATGACTGTAAACAAAATCTGAATGGACATTAGTACATCTCTACCATCCTAGACTGGGTTGTTGTACCACATTTCGATAACCATCCTCTGAACACAATACCGGGCTTCATGGATGGTAATGTTAGGTCACATCGTGCACGTGCCGTTTACGTTTACTTAGGTCAAGAGGCCCTTGGAGTCCATATCGCAACCCCATAGAGATTAGACGTTAGGCTTCGCAGACCACGCCAGAGATCTTCCAGTACAAAATCTTGATGTATTGGAACGCTCCCCCCATCAAGAATGGAACACAAGTTTGCAACGTCAAATTCAACGTCATATACAGTCAGGGATCGGCAAAGTTTTTTGCAGTTGGCGGATGTTACACCAGATATTGACATTGTGCTGGGCTATTGATACTATGTGGTTTTTTTGAAGACTGTATGTCAGAATCCTGAAACTGACGGGTTTTGTAAACGTCACATGACCATAGTTATCAGCACTACAAAATGAGTCAATAGTTTTGTCGCGTTCATTTAGATGAGAGAGGAATTTTCAGTTTAATCGTGAGTCGAGAGTGATTTTTAGCTCGTCAGGTAATATTATTACATGTTCGTGATATTTCTGTCACTTGTGTCTTTTGTTTGTATTTCGCTTTCAATGACATTATAATTGATGTTCTTCCCTCACCCTCAGCGTTCTACCCATTCTACTGCTGGTGGCGACGACATCCGCCTACCGTTTCTACCAGGACGAGATCCCAAACGGAGATCGCGTCCCCACCCTTGTAAACCCAACTACTTATGGTGGGGAGTCGGGCACGACAACCCTCTCGGGGGCGGACCAAAGAACCCATTTGGACTGGACTTCGCTCGATATCATAGTGTAAGCACAATTCCATAAAAGTACTATTTGCCTTTTCACGTGCCTGTCACATATGTTCGATTGGGTTCATGTCAGGAGATCAGCTGATTGATTGTTGTTTAACGCCGCACTCAGCAATATTCCAGCTATATGGTGGATGTTTGTAAATAAACGAGTCTGGATAAGACAATCCAGTGATCAACAGCATGAACATCGATCTAGGCAAAGTGCTGGGGAATATCACGATAAAACATATTTGTGGTGTGCCCGATGTTTTTGCCTATTTTGTGAAATATCCAAGATGGCGTCCAAGATGGCCACCAAAAATCAATTCTAACACTATGTGACTTTTCCCCGCTGGATTCAAGCAGAAAACCTTGCACGGTGCTAGGGAACATCATGATTAGATAACAATATTTGAACTGAATGGCGAAAGAAGAAACACAACTACATGTACACGATTTTCATAAAGAATATTGGTGAGTGAGTATAGTTTTACGCCGCTTTCAGCAATATTCAAGCAATATCACGGCGGGGAACAGCAGAAATGCGCTTCACACATTGTACCCATGTGGGGAATCGAACCCGGGGTTTCGGCGTGAAGAGCGAACGCTTTAACCACTAGGCTACCCCACCGCCTCAAAGTATATTGGTAAATTTTAGATCTGGAGTTTTTTCTGCGTTAGAAACCTTTGCTCTGCGGGCCATCGTTGTTTATTGTCACCTTAACTGACCAATCTGCCCTGACCAGTGGACCGAGGAGTTGTGCCGCCTGGACTCGGACGGGGACGGGATGACCAACGGTCAAGAGCTGGGTGACCCCAACTGCGTGTGGAGAAAGGGCACCTTCCCTGAATTATCAGACGGCATCAGTCATCCAGGTATTTTAAATGAAACGTTGTAATTTGGTTGATTAAATTATTATATTTTTAATTTCGGTTGTGACATGAGGATTTCATAGTTTTTCCGACAGTACATGAACTTTAGTGAAGACAAATCTACAATCAATGAAGTCCCGTACCACTATATACATTGGTTGGTATTGCATTCAGCAATATTCTGTATGGCGGCATTATATACATAGCTGACTGTGTTTGTTTAACATATAACTGCCTGGGACACAGTAACGTGTTTAACACTTTGAAAACAGGTTTGAATCTGTGAAAAAGATTCCCGTATGATGAGCACCACGTGCATTTATCTTTTGCTGAAACCCGCGAGTGGGGGCATTCCGATGATATAGCTCGTATTTGGGGATCGAACCCACGATTATAAGTGCCTGGCACGACAGGGGGCGCAACTCTGCAAGTTGAAATGTGATGCCTGAAGCCAATGGGTCATGTGCGTTTCGAAATGACGTGGACGTTGCAGTGGCTGAGTGGGTTAGATCGCGGCATAATGAGCTGGCGATTAGATGCCTCAATCTGAGAGTGTGGGTTCGAATCCCGGATTTGACTCAACTATAATAGTACCAGAATCTGTACTTTCGTTAGAAAATGTGATCCTAAATATAACATTTATATATTTCATTTATCTCATTTATCTTATAAATTGTTTCAAGAATATACAGTACCGTCATAACACGATGGTCAACATATTTTCTTTCAATTCTGCCTTTCGGGAACAAAATAATATTGTAGGCACTGAGCCCGATATACCCCATTGATATCAGTAGTACAGGTGTTCCTTTGCTCGGGGGTTTCTTCAGTAAGTGAGTGAGTGAGTATGGTTTTACGCCGCTTTTATCAATATTCCAGCAATATCACGGCGGGGAACACCAGAAATAGGCTTCACACATTGTACCCATGTGGAGAATCGAACCCGGATCTTCGGCGTGACAGGCAATTAAATGCATTAACCCCTGGGCTACCCCACCGCCCCTGTTGTGAAGTTCTTATAGTTTACGTATTTGTTTATAATTAAATATATCAGTGTGTGTTTGTCGTCATAGGGGGCGATGGGGTAGCCTAATGGCTAAAGCGTCCGCTCGTCACGCTGAAGATCCGGGTTCGACTCCCAACATGAGAACAGCGTGAAGCCGATTTCTGGTGTCTCCCGCCGCGATATTGCTGAAATATTGCTAAACGCGGCGTAAAGCGATACTCATTCACTCACTATACACCTATATTTATATATACTCTTTTATGAATGCAAAAAACACTGAGATAAATTCTTGATTAAACGGAAACCCCAAATGTACTGTTTTGGAGGAAAGCCGGTAAAATTGGTTTGGTTTTGTTGTTGTTTAACGCCGCCCGCAGCAATATTTCAGTTAAATGGCGGCGGTCTTTAATATGGAGTCTACGCAATTGGGATACGATGGCATGTGTCAACAAGGTCAGCGAGCCTGACCACCAGATACCGTTAGGCGCCTCTTACGACAAGCATGGGTTACTGAAGACCAATTCTAAATCGGGTCTTCACGGGTAGTACTGTTTTCCATAAAAGCTGACACAGAACATAACTTGCCTTTCATTCATTTTAGGTGTCTGTGACCCATGGGGCAGCGAACAATGCCGACAAGCCAACCAGGACGTCACGTGTGAAACAGGAGAGTTTGTATGTGACGGTGTCAACAGTCAGGGTACGTGACATACCTTCTGGTCACACAACACCACGTGACTGATCAAGCGTATGTATCGTGATACAAGACGAACCTTATGGATAACAACTTCTTTATTTGTTTCTCACAATTTATTTGACGTTTCTGGGCTAGTTCTTGTACCTTCTTGGGATGGATGAAGAAAACGTTGTTATCCATAAGATTGCCTTGTACACCACCTTCTAAATACCTTTGAAGAATTTCGTGTATATATATAGTGGTTCCGTCGGTTTGTTTGACGTCGCTGCAGTCACGTGCTTGTAATAAGTGCATGGTGCAACTACCTTTCTATTAGTCTCTCATACAGACCCTGAAACAAATATACCCAATGTAGCCCAAGCAAGTCTAGAATGTGTGGCAAGACTTGAATTCCACAGTTTCTGAAAATGACGACAGTCTTTGGACTCCTTTTTATTGTACTTAATTCTAATTTAAAAAATATTTTTTTCTATAAAATAAGTTGATTTCAGAGACTAGCTGTTTTTACACATTACTTCATGGCAGAATTCCGATATTTGGGAATTGGTCTATCCGATAATTTACGGAAAAAAGGAACGCCCTGTTCTTTCATATCATTTCTCTTGGCATGGCAGACAATTGATGATTGTTTAATGTCATTTTCAGATCTGATATATTCCCGCTATATCACGATGGGGGCACCAGAACTAGGCTTCATACATTGTACCCATGTGGGGAATCGAACCTTGGTCTTCGGCCTGACGAGCGAACACTTTACCCACTAAGCCACATCGCCCCCTAAACTAGTTTCATAATAGACCAGTAAAAAAAACCTCATTTCTTCCATGCTTCGATTGATCCGGTGACAATAACATACGTTCAAGGTGCCCCATCAACAAATTAACAAACGTCATGTAACAGAATTGGTGGGACATTAACTTCTTCTTCGTTCAATGGAAACTGTCCGTATTAACGAAGTTGCAGTTTCTGAAGATGTTTCTATGTAACAGGTGTGAGGAACATAACGCTGCGGTTCCCCCCTACTGTTGTCCCGCCTGAACAGACCACCTACATGTGCTTCACATTCGAGCTTGACATGCTTGAAGAAGATGCTGAGTACCATCTGATAGGCAGCAAACCCTTCATCGACAACGCCAACGTCATGCACCACCTCGTCGTCACCGGATGTGACGCTACAAGTAAGTGTCATCTATTACCGCAAAACTACCGCAGCTGCCGCACCTACCGCAAAAGTTCGGTAAGAGACCACTGGTAGTTTCTTTGTATGTTTGGTTGTTGTTTTACACCGCACTCAGCAATATCCCAGCCTTATGGCGGCGATCTGTAAATAATCCAGTCTGGACCAGACAATCCAGAGCACAACATCATGAGCATCGTTCTACGCAATTGGGATACGATGACATGTGTCAACCAAGTCAGCAAGCCAAACCACCCGATCCCGATCCCGTTAGTCGCCACTTACGACAAGCATGGGTTGCTGAAGGCCATTTCTAACCGGGTCTTCACGGTTCCCGCTGGTACTACTGCTTGGGAATTGCGGAACATTTATCCAGGAACCCTCAACTAAGATTTTCGAAGCTCCCCTAGTGTTAAGATGGTCGCAAGTGCCATACATTAACATTAACTTACGACTATCTTAGCGCTAAGGGAGCTTCGAAAATCTAGACCCTGGACCTGGATATAGTGTAATACTGAGGTTTTATGCATTCAGGTACCCCATTAAGCAAGCCTGAAGTGTGTAATATGGCATCGGCTGGTTGTCAAAAGACCCTGCAAGTCTGGACGCTAGGAATGCCAGGAGAATGCGTGTATCCGGAGGCAGGCTTCAGAATAGGCAAGCTGGCTGGGATTACTAGGATCAGCATGCAGGTGAGTTGTACTTGACATAACTAACAGTAGTCTTCGGCCTTGTTTTAATGTTTATATACAATGTAATCATGTAATATCAAGTGCAAATATTGATACGTCAATGAAATGTATTTAGTATTAAAACCGGTTACTGGCATGTACATAATGTTTTTGTCGTCAAATGGCTGAAATTCTGACTATGACGTCACAGATTTACTCACTCATAGGTAAATCCCTCTCCGACTAGATCCTGTTAGAGCTAAGGGACGTAACTCACCACTGTGAATTCATGCCCCCGAGACGTCTAATATGTAACTTCAGTGTTGATGTTTTGTTTAACGCCAACATCAACAATATTCCAGTTACATAACCGCGTAATGTCAATAATCGAGCCTGGTCCAGAAAAACCTGTGATTGATATCATGAGCAACTATATCCAACACGTTCGTTTGACACGCTCTCAATCAAATCAACCAGCTTGACCCTCCGTGGTCTCATGCAGGCTGCTGGAATCTGAGTGTAGTTATGCAAAACAACCTCATCGGAAGGATAGCCATCAATCTGTGTTAAGGCATGGAAATTACGATCACCTTATCGCTAGGTTTGCTTGTTTCTACTTGTTTGCTTTCTTGTTGTTTTACGCCGCACTCAGCAATATTCCAGCTATATGACGGCGGTCTGAAAAGTAATCTTGTCTGGAACAGGCAATCCAGTGATCAACAGCATCAGCATCGATCTACGCAGATACGATGACGTGTCAATGAAGTCAGCGATCCTGACAGACCCCATCCCGTTAGTCGCCTCTTACGACAAGCATGGTTTGTTGAAGACGAATTCTAACCGGGATCTTCACAGGTTCACTGTTCTAACCTGAATCAAATAGCTCAGCATTGTTTTACAGTTCCACTGGACGAACCCACAAAAGAGGACGGACTACATTGACAGCTCTGGCCTAACCCTGTTCATTACTAAGCAACTGAGACGCTACAACGCAGCATACTTCTTGACTGGCGAGACGCGCCTGGTGATCCCACCTGGCATGCCCAGGGTGGTCAAGAAGTCTACCTGTTCCCCTGAATGTACCCGGATGATCCTGTCTCAACCAGTACACCTTATGACAGGCTGGAACCATATGCACTACCTGGGTAGGAACTAAATGCCATTATACCGATAGAGTGAGTGATTTTGTTTTACGCCGCACTCAGCAATATTCCAGCTATATGGTGGCGGTCTATAAATAAACGAGTCTGAACAAGACAATCCAGTGATCAACACCATGAACATCAGTCTACGCAAAAGGGATACGATGACATGTGTCAACCAAGTCAGCGAGCCTGACCACCCAATCCCGTTAGGCGCCTCTCACGACAAGCATGGGTTACTGAAGATCAATTCTGACCCGGATCTTCACGGATCACGAGGATAGATGTTGACGAGTTTAGCGATTCTATATGCTGATTGGCCAGTCAAAGCGATGTGACGTCACATTGCTTCAAGTCGGAGAACAAAGTATGTCACGTCAAGCATTGTTTATGACGTCACAAATTAATTATAGTGGTCAAACCGAATAATATGCTGTGTTCAGAGAAGTTAATCTGGAGGATTAAAATGTTATAAACAGTTAATTGAGATGGCAGTTGACGTTGCATTCAAGATAATTGAACGTATATGTAGACTCCTGTGTGAATAGATGAGTGTGAGTGAAAAGTATACTCCGGACTAATCAGCATTTTGAAAAGGTTCTTTAGTCTTACTGGGGAACAGCAGGCACATAATAGAGGCAAAACATAGTAATAAAACCTATTATTGGTATGTACTCCAGTTTATGACAAACTGTATTTTCAGGCTACCAACAGAACGTCGAACTCTTTCGCAATGGCGAGAAACTGCGAGACTTGACTCCGGATGAAATTTATAGTTACGATAACCCAAAAGTTTACACGTAAGTATATCTGTAATTCCATTTTAATGTCCAACACCCTGTGAAACTGGCCGAAAATTCTGAAACATATTGATATCGAATATGGATTTCATGGTTACGTGAAGTGACTTTAGAGGCAAAATGTACATAATATCCAAAACACTTTTCTGTTTAACCATTCCAAAAAAATTCAGAATCAGTGTTTAAAACAAAACAGCAACGTACCGTAGAATTCAAACGCTCCCTTACTTGAAGTCATCGTTAGGTGCATTCACTAACTCATTCACTTTTACAGAAAATGATCACATAACTACAAAACCTCTTTAATGCCAACCATTTTCTTCCAAATGAAATCATTCAGATTAATTCGGTGTGTAACAAAATGTATTTTGTAAGTGGAGGACATATTTTCGTACTTTTTGATACATTTCTGAATCACCAAAATAATTCTATAATGTTCGGACTTTAATAATACATGAAGTTACAGACAACAGTAAACGTTTGGGCTCCGTTCGAGGGGCTTTTACAGTATATATTCTCATTCAGATACAATCCCCCCATTGAACTGAAACCTGGGGACAGCCTTGACACAACCTGTGTCTTCCGATCCACGTCGAGGTCCACCACTGCCCAGTATGGCGAAGGGACATTCGATGAGATGTGTTTTGGTATATTCACCTTCTACCCCGCGGAAGCAATGGAACAGCCCTCGTGCGTGACTTGGGACGAACTGGAGCTCTGCGATTTTGACGGAACTTCAGTTAGAGGCTGCGATGTGATGATGATCATTAACCAGTCGGATCCGATACGTAACCGTTTGTTTTCAAAGGTGGGTTAAGCGTAATAAGCTGAATGCGTTCGAGCGAATTGCAAGTGTACACTTGGCACGAGTAATGCCGGTTACAAACCACGCCACAGTGTAACAAGAATACACCGCTCTGACAGAGTATTCTGGTCGACATCTGTTTACTTTATTCCCTTAATGCCGATCACACCCGTGAAAATCCGGGTTATAACTGGGTCTAAAGGAACCCATGTTTGTCGTAAGAGGCGTTTAACGGGATCGGGTGGTCAGGCTGACATGGTTGACACGTCATCGTATCCAAATTGCGTTGATCGATGCCCGTGCTGTTGATCACTATATTGTCTGGTCTAGATTCGATTATTTACAGACCGTGCCCTATATAGCCGATCGTCAAACCCGGTCCTTCGGCGTAACGAGCGAACGCCTTAACCACTAGGCTACCCCACTGGCCCCTGATGGTAATGAGACATGATGGTCATAATTATCAAGGCGTTTTAGTTGTACTTATTGGTGTAAATATTAATAATGTAAATAACAAGGAGGTGCGGTGAGGTAGCCCTGTGCTTAAAGCGTTTGCTCGTCACGCCGAAGACCCGGGTTCGATTACCCACATGGGCGAAAATGTGTGAAGCCCATTCCTAGTGACCTCTGTCGTGATATTGCTGGAATATTGCTAAAAGCTGCGTAAAACCCAACTCACTCACTCACTAATAACTATAAAAATGACTTACCATATCAACAACTTTGAAAGTCAAATTACACACATCAAATATACGAATATTGTGCAAAACAACCTCTCTACATTACATCTCAACCATTTTGTAACGTGATCGTATTCTGAAGTGTGCATGTATATGTTTCATTCATTTTAAAGGTCCTTGACAACTGCAATGCTTACGGAGGTTGTCGCACGGAGTGCCCCGCAGCCATAGCGGAAGTACGGGAGCATCCTTGCTTCAGAGGCCAAATGGCAGATTATATTGGAGACACGCTGCGTATCTTCTCGTCAGGCCTGGACGTCGTCAAGTTCTTCTCTGCCATGGAGTCCTGTGAGTGTATGGACAAGCCCCCCACGGCCACCTGGAAGTACCCCGTGTCCGGAGCAGGCAGTCACAGAGCTGAAACCTCTTTCAGTATTCTCCTGGCGGCGTTGCTGTACAAAATAGCTCTCTGAATTAAAGTAGTCCGCAGCTGTCATGCAAGCAATGAAGTGTTCTTGTTGTGGGGTGGAATAGTGTATGAAGCGTTGGTCTCATTCATTGATGGCTTACGGGGCGTGTAAGCCTCGCGAGGCGCTACTCCGATACTAAAGCTCCCCTTTGCGCGCCCCAAACTGCGATATACGAGACGGGATCCAGCTTACTTCCGGTACCAGATTTCCGGTGACAAGCGTATATTCAAAAAACCAGTTCTGGTTTCAAATTGTGCGGCCACCAAATATGACTTGACTAGACCGGACCAAGTGTACGACCATGCTTGGCTGTCACAGTTGTTGACAGTCGTAATAGTTGGCTAATTCGGGGATGGTTAGATCGGAAATTTGTTATTCCTGCAAGGAGTATCAGTTCCTTACTGTCAACCATGACACCATTCGAAAAGGTATGAAACTTTGTTTGTCACCGGAAGTACCAAGGTCTCGCGAAGTGCCGTGAAGATCCGGGTTAGAATTGGTTTTCAGTAAACCATGTTTGTCGTAAGAGGCGACTAACTGGATCGGGTGGTCAGGCTTGCTGACGTGGTTGACACATGTCATCGTATCCTAGTTGCGTAGATCGATGCTGATGCTGTCGATCACTGGATTGTCTAGAGACTCGATTATTTAGAGACCGCTAAACAAACTTGTGCTGAGTGCAGTGGTAAACATGATGTTGATAACTGGAGTGTCTGGTCAGACCACCGTCATATAGCTGGAATATTGCTGAGTCCTGGTGTCTCTGACGCCAATTGTACAAAAAGACAAGTAGTGAGTGAGCATGATTTTAAGCCGCTTTCAGCAATATTCCAGCAATATCACGGCGGAGGGACACCTGAAGAAAAGACAAGTACCCACATAGGTACAATGTGTGAAACCCGCGATACCGGATCCTGCTAAAATGGGGTCGTAGGGTAGCCCAGTGACTCACTCACTCACACTCCAAATACAAATTCCCCCTGCAAATCTGACACAAACATGGTGTATGCAAAACCTCGGAAACTGTTCCAAAAAACAAACATGGAGTTTAACACAATAAAAGGTATGCATGAGCGTTGGAGGCATTTTGAGGTCATGGGAAACCTCTTCAGCCTTAACAAAGCGCAAGGGATCCTCACTTTGTATGTACGGTACTGGAGTGTTGACAGGGTAAATAACAGCGCCGCTTCAACAAAGAAGTCTGGAGCCTCTGTATAACGACAATGAGAGGTACAGATATACATCTCAAACGGTATCACTGAAAATTCTTAAACAATTATTGCTGAAGCTGATATCTCAGATGCGAATTAAGCAAATGGTAACGTTCAGGGCACGGAACAGTTTTTACATGAAAAAATATAATGTGAAATAAATAAAATATTGTAAAATATATCGGGATTCTTCAAATGATGATATACACAACTATTTCCAATAATTATTATCTTTGTTGAAAAAAGCACGTTAACAACCGAACATCCAACATGGCTGCCCAAAGTTTAAATGGCCACCATTGTCCCAATAAGCGTCAATTCTTAACACAAAAACAAACCGATCAACATCCAAGATGGCTGCCAAAATTCAAAATGGTCGCCATTGTCAATATAGGCGATATTCTCAACAGGGAGATAATGGGTATACAATTTTGGCGATCTTAGAATTGTTTGTTTGTGTTCGGTACCATGGACTTCTTTTAACCACTGTCTGGGAAATGAACTCAGTGCCTCGGTTCACGTGCACGTGGCTGTCAGGTAAATACAAAGGTGGCAAATATCTTGTTTCCACGTACTACACTATAATAACAATTGCCGTCTTTGAGAAGGTGCGATGCGATAGCCTAGTGATTATGGTGATCGGTCGTTACGCCGAAGACCCTGGTTCGATTCCCTCAGAGGTGCAAATGTAAAGCCCATGTCTCACACTCGTTCACTTTGATAGATGCTAATATTAGTCACGTTAATCGTTTTGGCACTATTTGGGCCTAAGAAATTTACAGTGTTCTTTTAAACAGACATTATTCCCACTTTTTAAGTCATGTTTAATGATAAACTTCTCTTTTCATTGAGGGGCGGTGGGGTAATCTTGTGGCTAAACGACGAAGACCTGGGTTCGAGTCCCCACATGGGTACAATGTGTGAAGCCCATATCTGGTGTCCCCACCATGATATTGCTTGAATATTGCTAAAAGCGGTGTAAAACTATACTCACTCGCTCGTTTCATTGAATATAAGTGATCAATCATGCTTGATTATAACGTCACATATTTCGCAATATTCCAGTTGTGTCACGGTTGTTTGTTAATAATCGAGTAACATTTATCCGAGTAAGCGAGTAGGTGATTCGTCACGTCTTAATTAGTATCATTTCAGCTAAGATTACCGCAAATAATCCAGTTTTGATCAAACGGTCGATCAGAGAAGCCACTTGTCAGGCGCGACGCTATTCAAGCTGGAGGCCATGCACACTCTATAACCTCGAGACCGACCGACATCTTATAACGAACAGACACGTGACGTTATGACTAAATGGTATTTAGTTCTTTCTCTACTGTTTAACACTATCTAACAGTCACCCGCCGACGGCGGGATGAACCAAGCCGGATATGAGTAGATGTGAATGAGGCTGCAAATTTCGCAATAATGCAATTTTTTAACCCGGCACACCTCCGCTCATGTTTGTTTAGGTTCTACGTTAGTATACCTGTACCTGTGTTGTGACCTATATACTGTGCTGGCACTGTTCCAAAATAGCCACTAAGCATTTAGGCGGATCCGAGGGTGGGGTTGTGTTTGCACACACACACTCTCACTCACACACACACACACACACACACACACACACACACACACACACACACACACACACACACACACACACACACACACACACACACACACACACACACACACACACACACACACACACACACACACACACACACACACACACCTGTCCTGAAAGTTTATTAAATGGCCATTGAAACTCTCGTGAAACTGAAGTGTGCAACCCCCCTTCTCAAGAGTGTGACACACACACCACCTTTCTAAAAAACTGAATCAGGACTCGTGTGTTGCAAGCAAGCTTCGTTGTTGCGAAATGTCTCAGCACACCTCAAGGCTACTATATCATTCCTGTCTTTCATGGTGATTCATAAATCCAGAATTGAGTCAAGAATTAAATGAAATATGTGAAATTGGGACCATTGTTACAGATTTAATGAAAACCACACTGGTAAACTGCGAAACATTTTCCATTTACTGATGAGATGAAATTTCTCTGCCATATTTAAGGTGTGACCATGCTTGAGCATCTTATTCGATAAGACTTTTATACAGGAGTATTTCCTGATAACTGGAATCTAGGCATGGTTATCCCACTGTGTGAATCTGGAAATGCAGAGACACATCAGTTACAGAGGTATACATCATGTATCCCTTTTGGTAGCTTGACCTGAGCTACTCTACATAAGCATGACCCGGGAGGTCAAATACCACAAACGGCAGCTCGAGTACCTTCATTAAATAGGGGAGAAGAGAATGTTATTAATGTTGCGTTCGTGCGAAACATGCATACATGGATTCGTCACAGAACTTGTCACGGAAAACAACACTTCTGAAAAAACAATCATTTCATGTTTTAACTGAATTGTTTATACAGCCACATGCTATCTAGTTTACAACGTACAGACAACGTACAGACGTCAGTTACTTTCACAATCCAATTCACTCTCGCTTCCACTCTCTGCATCCAGTTCAAATATCACTTTTCTATTTCATGTTCAACTGCAACATTTCCGTCCCAGTAGTCGCCTAAAAACAGAATCGGAAACATTAAACCATCTGTAGCTTCTTTTTTAAAGAAAATAAAGACATTGCTGGCGATTTCTCGACACTGACATGTCAATCGGGGATCTTGTCTCGGTTGTTCCGACATGTTGACAATAAACTGACAAAAGTGCACCCCTTCACAATAATAGACCCAACCAGTTGTGACACGGTCACGCAATGCATTAGTATTCACTTGATCAGGCCAAGCTAAACAAGCTGTAAGATTGTGGATGGAAGTAAACGAAAATATATCTGAAGCCCAGGCTGGATTCAGACAGGACTGCTCCACCGGGGACAGCATCTTCACCTTGCACGCTCTAGTTTCAAAATATCTCTGCAAACTAAAAGAAAGATTTTATGCTGCATTTATAGACTTTTAACATGTCTTTGGCTATGTCGAGGTAATGTGTGCACTTCGTCAAAACGTTTGTCATGGTAAAATATATGTTATTCTTAAAAGTATGTTCAGTGCTGCTCGATGAAAGCCTGTATTATAGTATATTCTGGCAAAACAGATTTGTTTGAAACAACAGTTGGTGTTAGACAGGGATGTATGTTAAGCCCGATATTATTTCTTTTCTTCATAAATGATCTTGTCACTGAAATGTATCGAAATTGTCAAAATGGTATATTCATTTCTCAAGATATTGTGGATTTGTTGCTGTTGCTCTTTGCGGATGATGTTGTGCGTTTTGATAATAATGTTGAAAGACTACAGAGGCAATTAGATATTTTAGAAACGTTTTGTTTAAAATGGGGTTTTGATATAAACTTTAAAAAATCAGAAATTGTAGTCTTTAGAAATGTGGGTATTATAAATCGCTTTGAAAAAAGGTATCATAATGGTTCATCACTAAAAATAGTTTCATATTATAAATATTTGGTAGTACTATTTTCTTCTAGATTGATTTGAACGAAATCGTGTTAAAACTTGGCATGTATATAAGAAATCCATTCTTATCATTCTCAACAGCTTGTAAAATATTTGATTGTAAAATAAGTCCGATACTTTTATATGGTGCAGAAATTTGGGGGCTTAAATACTTTTCGTGTATTGAAAAAGTTCAAACTTCATATTTTAAATATTGTTTTCAAGTCAAGTCAAGTTTATTGTATTCTAGGCCTCCTGCCCGTATACAAGGAGTTACATACATATACATAACTATAATACATAATACAATGGCAATTATGAAATTACTTGGATAACCTATCATTTCTCAAGACAACAGCATGCTTTACAAATAGAGAAAGGTTACGGATAACAGTTTCATTTCTGGAAGTGAGAATCGAGACAAAGGCTATTGTTGGGTATTTTGATAGATAATTACTTGAAATATATTTTCTTCTAAGATCATCATAACATGGACATACAAATATAAAATGAATTTCATCTTCAATAAATGAAGTGCATAATGGACAAATTCTCATATTTCTTTCTATAGACAATCTTCTATTTTTATTAATACTTAAATCTAATAGACCTAGTCGGAGCTGAACAAATGTGCGTCTGATATTTCTTGATGTCAATACACATAAATATATTTCTGGTTGAATAAGGCTCTTAAATGATCTATATAGATCATACCTTGAACTATTTTCGAGAGTCGAATGCCATTCTTGATGGAACATATTAACTGACTGTTCTCGGAAACGTTTAAGAAAAAGAGTTACATTACCCAATACCCACTGTCTGATTTAACCATGCAAATCCAAAGCCATGAGAAAATAAAAGATTTCTCATGTGGGAAGCCCAAGTTGTCTTGCCCATGTTATCGAGATGAACAAGCATATCTTGGTGTAGGTAAATATGCCTCAAACACATCTATTCCAGTTGAAACCGTACACCATTGTATGTTTGCCCAGAGCCAAATGAGAGCTATAAATATTGGTTAAATTATTGCGCATGGAGGCAAATAGATGTCCCATACAATGTTATTTGTTCCTTAAAAGACTGGATGAGCAAGGTAAATACAGTTGGGTAACAGATGTTAAAAAACGTTTATATGTTAATAGCTTTTCTTCTGTTTGGGACTGCCAAAATGTTGGTGATGTAAATATAAGTATGTATCAATTTCAGGAAGGACTAAAAGATATTGCTTCACAAAATCGGTATGCAAAATTGTCTGCTTCCAAATATTTATCTCAGTGTTTTTTCGAATTTAGGATTAATTTACAAAATTTCAATGTACAGTTTTTACGTAGAAATACATTAGATACTCAAAACAGAATGTAAATATTGTAATAAGGGTTGTATAGAAAGTGAAGAACATGTTTTCTTCACGTGTGATCATTACCAGATTTTACGGGTGCGTCATATGAAACAGTTACGGGATGTGTGTACTGGTTATCTTTCATGTCCAATCAACTTAAACTGTCAAAATGAAATAGTCATATAATTAACTCCTGTATAATTGTGCAAGTTATTTAAATTTAGAAAAATGTGACTCAGTTTATACTGTCAACTACATTGTAACACTGGCCACATGGCCCACATTACTCAATATATTTATGTCTGTCTGCTGGGTGAGCTATCTTGGGTAACCAATGAGACTATACACCAATGTGAAAACCATTAAACAGTCACGTGACCAGTTGAGAAACAAACACTAGTCATGGCGTTATATCACTTATTGGACTGTCAAAAGAAACATGAAATGGAACAGGATTCTTTGTCAGCTGCAGATGAATGGCATATTGTTCCTTTATGTGGATATTGATGGATACATTCCTTGAACAAAGTAATAGCCTGATATTATTGCTATATCTTTAGTCTGTTTTAATTTTGATATTTGTACTTTGTTATTATTCATTTGTTGCAGCATTGAAGAGAATCATTTTTTTCGCCGTGATGTGTAATGAGACAGACAACATACACTAGGTCGCACTTTGGGCGTGTGTGTGAATGATTCACGTTGGCAATCTGTAGAATGTCTTGATAATACAGTCATGTTATAAATTCACTTTAAACAGTTAGTGTACACCTCGGAATTCTCGCCACTTCTGAGGAACACATGCATTGGCTTCCACTCGTCGTCGGTTCCACATCCTCTTTTTGTTCTTGCACTGGATATGCTTTGATACAACATATAAAGAGAGCTGTAAATCTGGGGAGTTATGTTTGGGAGCAATCCATGATCAAATCACAGGAGTTACCAAGCCCTCTGAATAGGGGAGAGCTTGGACCTATATGGACAACTCTTCTGGTGGCATGAAAGAGCTGCCAGGAATTGCTGAAATGCATTTGTAAAACATTTCATACTGGTCCAAGTGCGTAAAAGCATTTCTCAAGTGCACTGCACTTTTCTGATTCAGTCAAACTAGGTACAATAACACTCAAGACATGATTGCGCAACCTTCCACCGATTGATGAGACAGCTACTTTGACATTGATGTTGAAATGAAACATGTTTGCGTTGATTTTGATATGTTTTTTTTATATAAGTGATCTATAGCCAACCAAGCTCATACGATATACATGTAAGTAAATCTAATGATATATTCCTTCAAATAAACTTCCATCTGTTCTCACAATATTCTAGATACATAATTTATGAGGATTTAAAATTGTGTTAAAATAATATTTTTGGGGGAAAATTCAATTTTTCCCCCCTTTTTCCCCCAAAAATGAAAAATGGCCCAAATCTGCGAGGCCTCTCGTATTGAATTTGCAAAGAAATGATAAAAATATTTTGAAAAATGTATAGATGGAAAATGATCAGCTATGAATTTCCTACAATTTGATATATGACTTATGAGAATTGGAGAATTTTAAAAGAAGTTATGATGAAAATAGTATTATTTAATAAGAAGGGTATAAGCTACAATCATGCCAAATTTCATGCTTGTAACACAAAGTGCACACTTTGATCACTTATCCGCTGTGCATTTTGTAAGGCAGAGCCGGAATAAAATCTTTTTGGGTGGGGATGTAGAGAAAGTGAATCTTTTGGAGGAATCTCTCTCAATTGATTATGCTGAAATGTTCAGAGGCTAACAGAATTATATTCCATTGTGATCTAGCGTTATTTGGTATTTCTGAATCCTTCCACAGTGATACTATATTTGACTTGATAATCTTATTAGCTACATTTCATATCTATAAATGTAAACTTACAAATCGAATACCGCATTTATCCGGTTTTAAAAAGGAATTGAACTATTACCACAACGTAGAAAGAATCAGCTATTATAGCAAAGGAAGGTTTCAGGAATACCATAACAAATGGAAACATTATGAAAATCTTTTTCAGTAGCATACATTGACAATACGAATTAATTTATTTTTTGCATTTTTTATTGTATGGATGTGTGAGCGAATGTTGTTTCTATGTGTTAAAAAATAACAAAAAAAACTCGGCGAGTCCAGTCTCTGTACATATATTGTATACTGCTTTCTCCGAGAATAAAAGTGAAAAAAATATATCCTAAAACTGTTGGAAGAGCACGTACAATCTCCACAATCAGGCCAACAAGATCGTCAGAAATACACTCAATTGGACCCATGAGAGCCGTTATGTAAACAAACGCCCGTGTGTGGATTTGAATCTCTCACCTTCCATGGTAATATCTTTACTAAAAACTACACATAAGCCAAAACAAAATTATGTTACCTACATCCCTTGTACATGTACTTACAATATAATGATACATATTTTTCAAGATTTTTTAAACAATGACATAATGCCATAAACGATTTAAGTATTCGAGATTATTTTTATCAAAGCACCCTTCATTACGCGCATTCTGGTTGGTTTGTCGTATTTTCGCACATAACAAGCATCGAGACGAGGACGAGTTTTCTTGGAGTTTACGGAAAGTGGCGAGAAAAACTATAACAAAAGCAACAACCAGTCCCTCTGGATCAGTGTCCCTTTAAAAGACACATGGCATGGAACGGCCGCAAATGAATGGCATATCGTTCCTTTATGTGAATATTTAAGAAATACAGTTCGCTCTACCACCATGTATAGTGCAATAAAGCACACTTTCGCCCTGAACTAATTTAGTTAAAGCACGAAGAAGCTCGCGTCTTCCTTTCCTAAGATGCCAAAATAAATACTTACCGACGATAATCTAAGGCAGAAAAAAACCCAGAAAAGCGACGGTGTCGGCGACCTCAATTAACAATCCTCGTTCACAGCAAACTCACGCGCTATTCTATTGGAGCGTGTCGTAGAATGATGGATACATTCCTCGAACACGATAGTGGCCTGATATCACTGTGCTGCTTTGAACACTAATATTGCAAACAGAACTAGAATAATGCCAACATCACAAGCTCAGTGATATTGTTGAAAAGTAAAAGTTTATTTTTTTCACTTTAAGTGATATGTACAAAATGATTGTGAAACAGGGAAAGCAAATCTTACAACTACAATCAAGTAATAAAAATATCTTGATTGCATAGCAAATTTACACAAACTCTATAAAATGTAAACCATATTTTAAGAGTGCATTAGTACCACAAATAGTATACGGCAAATAAAATATTACTTTTGTAAAACAACATATAACTTTATGAAACAACCACATTCCTGACAGCAATTTAAGATGGTGTAGTAGTATTTACAGCTTACAGGGGCGAAGGGTAGGTACTATTAGCCTTTGGATCTTGGGATGTTTTCAGTGTACATAATAAGACATCAATGCTTGTCACAAGACGCGTACCGTGAAGATTCGGATTAGAATTGGTCTTCAGCAACCCATGCTTGACGTAAGAGGCGACTAACGGGATCGGGTGGTCAGGCTCGCTGACTTGGTTGGCACATGTCATCGTATCCCAATTGCGTAGATCGATGCTCATGCTGTTGATCTCTGTATTGTCTGGTCCAAACTTGATTATTTACAGACCATCGCCATACAGCTGGAATATTGCTAAGTGCAGCCTTTAACAAGAACCAACCAACCACAAGAGGCGATTAAGGGGATCGGGTGGTCATGCTCCCTCACCTAGTTGACACATATCATCGTATCCCAGTTGTGTAGATTGATTCTCATGATGTCAGTCCATGGACTGCCGGGTCCAGAGTTGATTACTCACTAACCATGGTAACATATAGATGTGTGTGTGTGTGTGTGTGTGTGTGTGTGTGTGTGTGTGTGTGTGTGTGTGTGTGTGTGTGTGTACCAGTGATTAACAGTATTAGCATGGATCAAAGAAATATGACATGCATTAATCAGGTCAGCAGCAATGACCACCTGTCCTATTAATCATTAATAATCAGCAGAAAATGGGTACCCGGTGAGATAAGTCATGTGACTATTAACCTTCTAGCGCCTTACAGGCAGCTTGGGTTAGCCGGGATAATAACAACCAGCTCCGTTGAGCACTATATGAGGAAACTTTGCGCTCTACAAATCCATTATTATTATCATTATTATGATCACCTCTTACGGGAAGCAAAGTGATTTTTGGAGACAAGTTAAGGCTGCTGGAGACCAATTCTAAGCCAAATCTTCTTTGGGTTGTCATAAGTTCCAACCATGCACTTGTTATAACGAAAGAGGTCTTGTTTGCATTTACATGAACATCACAACGATGACTTTCATTACACATTGCCACATCTACCTGACGTCTTTAAGTGTTTTGGAGAATTCTTACTTTTATTTTTCATGTTATTGAATCATTAGATTTGTCTAGATGTGATCTGGAGAACCAAATAGAGTCTAACAAAAGCAGCCACATCTTTCACTCGGATCCTTCATATTAAAACCATAGACTCCTCTAATCCAACAAGCTTAACAAACGGTATGCATATAAATATCTATGTACACATCAACACCTAAACATAAATAATCATTCCAGGAAACAATTGTGTAATAAACATATAGTTTAATAAAACCATGCAAACCTCTTTTTAGATACAACTCATATTTATATACCTTGCGAATGGCCGACAGGGGCATAGCTGTTCCGAGACACATTAAGCAGGTAAAATAAGACCCTTTTCGTTTGTTTACCGAATTTCCATAATGAATATCTTGATACCTCACAATTCCGGTCCATGTAACCATCTAACACATGAGATGGGGCATGTTTTATCGATGATTTACCATACGACCGTACCTGCCTATGTCACAAAGGTTTAGTGATATATGGAATGTGTGACATTGTCGATCTCTTATCCTGCATAATGGTAAATAGATACATATATACTTACATATACACGGACTTTACAATATCTACTTTTGGGAATTACAAGCTTGAGTAAAACATTCTACTTTCGGTTTAGATTTACGAATGATAGAGAACGAACTTTCGATTTGAATTTAACAATAGTTGACAGCTAATTTCCGTCTATTCTTCCTGTTTCGGGTCAAACGTTAGAGCACCCTGTATAAATTCTGAGTCCAAACGAAAAGACAGGAAGAGATCGAGATCAACTCAATAGAGTTATCAAGGTGGCGTTCTTAGCAACAGAAAACATTAATGTTGTTTGTGGTGGCCAAGAGAGTGATCATTACTGCACGGGGATATTCCTACATCTCGACCATTATATACTTAAGCCCCAACAAGTCCTGATCCAAAAAGTGTTCGTAGACTTACGACCTATGGCGACCATATAGTTTATCACAGGGTTACGAATGACGTAGTCCTACGGACGCTTCGTAGATTATTGTTTCTGGTTCCCGTCCACGTCATTTTCACGCGCATCGAGACGTCGAACTTATTTTTAAGGCGCCCCGCATGTCCAACTAGCACACCTAAGGTTAAATTATTTCAAACAATTTATTCTGGAACAGGTTTAAAATGAACCATCCACAGTTCCCACCAAGAATATCAAATGTCCTGTTTATCTGCATTTTTCATTCAAAACACATTATTAGTTCATACAGTATACTTGTATGATAATTGGTATAGTGTTATGTATTTCGAGTGTTGACGTGGTTTGATAACATCACGTTAATTATGCATCTATGAACACACATATTTCAGCCAATGAAGTTAAAGGAATGTTTGAAAGCTTTAAAATATCTATCATAATATCGGAAATGAATTTGGGCATTCTTTTCATAGGTTAGACGTACGACGTTCTATTTATAACTTGGGAAATACCAACATCGGGCAGCTTACATAGTCAAAGTATACAACATATAGAAGGAGTGCTGTCGATCCCCAAGTACAAGTAAGTAAGGCTGGCTAAAATGATCGATTATCGGAAATAACGTCGATAGGAAAAACTATTAATGATTATCGATATGAAAATTGTGTTATCGATGATATCGTACTTTAACTTTCGTGACAGAAAAAAGTATTAATTTTCTCACAGTAGGCATAGTTAGGTTTTTATTAATGGTCTCCTTTCTAAACTATGCTCAGGATGTTGGTTTTTAGGAATCCATGCAAAACATGTCATCGCTCACCAGTGGTGTGAAATATATTAATTTCTTTCAGGCCGTTTTGGCATTTTTGCTCAAAGCTGCGTCTCCGATATATATCGATAATCGATCGATATTATTTATAGTTTATCGATCTCTATGATCTATATCGATAGCCAGCCCAACAAGTAAGGATAACAAGTTCTTTGTTTTTAAGGGTTTGGCCAAAGAGCGTTAATGTGACTATTTTTGTATATTTTGAAATGGTAAACGAACGCAAATTAAGGTACAATTCAAAATACTATTGCTACTTGTATACAGATCTGGATTCTGGGAATGCCTCCTATCCCACACCAAAATAATGTAGATGTTTACACCTACACTTTCGAGTCTTAGAAGGTGAGGTGAGGTGAAATGTGTTTAACGTCGCACTTAAGAACATTTGGCTCATATGACGACGTGCATGCTTGTGTATGTGTGGCTGCTTGTACAAGCCAAGTGAGTGAGTGAGTTTACTTTTATGACGCACTCAGCAATATTCCAGCTATATGGCGGCAGTCTGTAAATAATCGAGTCTGGACCAGACAATCCAGTGAACAACAGCATGACCATCGATCTACACACTGGGGATACGATAACATGTGTCAACCAAGTCAGCAAGCAAGGATATATTTTTTATTAATCGTCTCTCCAAACGAGATCTTTTATTTCCTCTTATCCTTCTTCTTATGTTCAGACATGATTGTACTGATGATGCTGTACGACTGTCTATATTTTTGTAAAGGAAAAGCTCTGACTTTATTTGTTCTTGTCCTCTGTTTATTACATGGACACGGTAGCTCAAGGAAGCATTACCATGCCTTGTTTTATTTATAATTTCTTTTTTCTCTCTATTTCAAATTTCTTCAACTTTTCTTTTTTCTATCCCTATTCTACTCGTTCTCTTTTACATCTCTCCTTGTCAAACATTGGTTTCGGCCACACAAGCAAGTATTTCTTTTTACCATATCACTGTGTATGCCGATGTATATAAACAATGAATAATTTGAGATTGATATCTATGAATGCCGGGGGCATAAAAACGGATTCAGCCAAGCGCAGAGATATACTGAGTCAAAAAAGAAACTTCACATTCTTTTTTCAGGGCACTATAAAAAGAGCAAGAGATGGTAAGATGGTTAAATTGTTATTATTTCATTGCTGAGATCTGTGTGATGTACTCGATACACTGACAGTGCCATAATCAGTTCCATTAGGCTACACCGCCGTTCCAAAACATGGGTATACACAATGTCAAGTTACAAGAATAAAAATGCGAAATTTCTCAGTTCAATATCGTGTATGGCCGCCCCGCGCATTCACCACTGCCAAACACCGTCTCCTCATCGACTGCCAGATGCTTGTGAACACGTGGCTGGGGATTCTGCGCCATTGCTCTTGCAAGGCAGCGCCAAGTTCCTGCAAATTCTGAGGTTGGTTCCCAAGACCACGAAGCCTTCTCCCAAGTGCATCCCAAACGTGCTCCATTGGATTAAGGTCAGGGGACCCCGATGGCCAGTCCATGACGTTGATTCCAGCGTTTTGAAGGAAATTTCGTGTCAACATCGCGGTATGCGGCCGAGCATTATCATGCTGGAACTGTAGACCTGGGCCATGAGCCGCCATGAAAGGAACGAGAGGTGAGCACCTGGTCGCGGTAAGCAGCAGCTGTGAGGTTTCCACGGATGACCAGAAGACGGGAACGGTTGTTCGCACAGAAAGCACCCCACACCATGCAACTTCCGCCCCCGAATCTGTCGACTTCCTGTACACAACATTGGGCATACCGTTCACGACGTCGTCTCCAGACTCTATGCCTGCCGTCCGCGAATCTGAGGGTAAACCTGGATTCATCGCTGAAGACGACTCGATTCCAGTCTCTCTGGGTCCATCGGAGGTGACGTTGGGCCCACAGCAGACGTTGACGTTGATGAAACGGCGTCACTATTGGCCCACGATATGGACGTCGAGAATAGAAGTGGCAGCCCGCAACCGACTTCGAATGGTCTGTGAGGATAGTCGACCTCTAAACATCTCAGCCCTGGTTTGTATAGCCGGCAGAAATCTGTCACGTAGGTGACGTAGGACGATTTGACGGTCTTCTGCTCGTGACGTCACACGTGGACGACCCGACCTTGGGCGATCAGAAGTGGTGCCAGTTTGTTGTAGACGACCTCGCAAGTCATACACAGTACGACGGCTGCATCCCATTGCTCTTGCGACGTCAATAACTGATCTTCCCACTTGCAACATGCCAACGGCACGTTCACGTTGCACATTTGACAATCGTGGCATTTCAAGTACCGTTAGAACTGTGGTTTAAAAGTGTTTTTTCAATTCTTGAGGCCAATGCAAACACGTGCATATGAAGAAAACTTCGATGCGAAGATCACGTGATCGAATGCACGTGCAAAACCGGATTTGGCACAACGAATGGATGGGTTTGAGTGGGTTTTGCTAACGTTTTTTTAGAGTCGAAAGATAGGGATCCCATTCTGGATACATAGATGTATCATCAGAGAAAAATTATTCATTATTTTTCAAATTACATTTTGTGAAGTTTCTTTTTTGACTCAGTATATATTCAACTTTGTCCGTAGTAAAAAAGCGTCAATTATATTCCTTCAAGAAACTCATAGCACAGTAGATGATGAACTAATGGGGGCGGCAGAATTGGGTTATAGATGTCATTATTCACACGGTACAAGTAAAAGCTCAAGAGTTATGGTTCTAATAAATAATAACTCCGAGTATCATATGCATGAAATAATTGTACATGATAATGGCCGTTTCATAATTCTTGACATTACTATAGAAGAAATTAGTTTTTCGCTTATAGATATTTATGGACCAAGTATCGATTCGCCACAAGTTTTCGAAGATCTTGCTAATGAACTGAGTAAACTTTCAGGATCAATAGTTTGGGGTGGAGACAGGAACGTGGTGCAAGATTATTACAATGATGCGTATAATTATAAACACAAATATAACCAAAAGGCACATGACAAAATACTTGATATCAAAGAGCAATTAGAGCTGGTCGAACCTTCGACAATACTTAATCCTGACACTAGGCAATACACATGGCGTCAACTCATTTCTTTAAAGCAGAGTAGACTTGACTACTTCTTAATTTCTGAGGATATTCTCTCTCTAGTAAAAACTGTATCTGTAGGAATAAGTTACAAATCTGATCACTCATATATTACGCTCGATTTAGACCTTAAACCAATTGAAAGAGGCCCTGGATATTGGAAATTCAATTCTAACTTGCTGCATGATAAAGATTACGTAAATCTGGTAAAGGAAACTATACAAAATACTTTGAATGAAGTCAAAGCATGGGAACTACTGATGATATTGCCAATATGGCTTTCAAAATGAATGACCAGTTTGTAGTTGAAATGTTAAAAATGAGAATAAGAAGTGAAACAATAGCATATACAATAAAACAAAAAAAGTCCATTGACAAAGAAGAAAAAACACTTGAAAATGAGATTAATAGGCTAGAATCAAATTATGGCATCCTTTCAAATGATACCTTAAATGAATTAAATAAAAACCAGGAAACTTTGGAAACCATTCGAACAGAAAAAATAAAAGGAATTATATTTAGAGGTAAGGCAAAATGGTATGAAGATGGTGAAAAGATGGTGAAATGGCAAAATAACGATTATTAAATCACAAATAATCCCTTTATTTACACATCTATTTTCAGCCCTTCCACTGCCGGATAAAACCTTCTTTAAATCGCTAAACTCAATCTTGTTTAAGTTTATTTGGAACGGAAATCGAGATAAAATTAAAAGAAGAATGTTGACGAATGATTATTCAGAAGGAGGTCTTGGCATGGTTGATGTTGAAGCTTTTTGTAAATACTTGAAACTGAAGTGAATAAAACGCCTGACACAAAAAGATGGCTTATGGCAGCACTTTGCACGATGTTCGATGGTAAATTTAGAAAATATCGATATCCTGAATTTCCCAAAGCATCAATTAAAAAAGCTAATTAAAGACATTAAAAACGATTTTTGGAAAGATATTTTAACTATTTATAACAAGTTGCAAATTTCAGAGATGAGGAATATTGACGAATTCAGAAATCTTCCCTTCATGAGTTTTGTTCCTTATAAAGATTTTAAACTATACATCAAATGATATCAGTGTGGAATAATATATATTCGGGACCTAATGAGTGGTTCAAGACATTTCAAAGAATTCAATGTTTTGAAACACGACTTCAGACTAAAGGATAATTTCATTTCTTATTTCAGACTGATAAGTTTCATACCCAACACATGGATTAAATTATCAAAAGATAACCCGGTTAATAGAACAAATCTAAATATTAATTGTAAGATTTTCAGGGACATTATCTCATCACTAGATTGTAAATTTATCTATATACTGATTGGTAATGATGAGGGTATTTGTTCTCTTCAAGATCTTACTTCTAAATGGAACTTAAATTTGGATGCATATATATCAGAAACTTACCTGTCCCAAAGTAGGACTGATAGAGGTTAACCTTTGTACATTTTGTGAAACACGAGAACATTTATTTCTTTCCTGTCGAAAAGTTCAAACTATGATAAATGAGTTCAAATTTTGATATGAAAGTATACTGACACACATTGAAAACGTAAAACCAAATTCAAATGAGGAAAACTTAACAATACTTGGATGAAAATTGTTCTACAGTTATGTTGAGAATTTCATTGTGCTTCATTTTCATAAAAAATGATTGCAAGAGTTCCGCCAATATGAC